CAAGCTCTCGTCAGTGACTCTCAGCTGATTTTCTCAGGAGCTGATTACCCTCCTCCCTCCCCAGTTCCTCTCGTTTCTCAGGAGCTGATTACCCTCCTCCCTCCCCAGCTCCTCTCGTTTCTCAGGAGCCGATTACCCTTCTCCCTCCCCAGTTCCTCTCGTTTCTCAGGAGCTGATTACCCTTCTCCCTCCCCAGTTCCTCTCGTTTCTCAGGAGCTGATTACCCTTCTCCCTCCCCAGTTCCTCTCGTTTCTCAGGAGCTGATTACCCTTCTCCCTCCCCAGCTCCTCTCGTTTCTCAGGAGCTGATTACCCTCCTCCCTCCCCAGCTCCTCTCGTTTCTCAGGAGCTGATTACCCTCCTCCCTCCCCAGCTCCTCTCGTTTCTCAGGAGCCGATTACCCTTCTCCCTCCCCAGTTCCTCTCGTTTCTCAGGAGCTGATTACCCTCCTCCCTCCCCAGCTCCTCTCGTTTCTCAGGAGCTGATTACCCTTCTCCCTCCCCAGCTCCTCTCGTTTCTCAGGAGCCGATTACCCTTCTCCCTCCCCAGTTCCTCTCGTTTCTCAGGAGCTGATTACCCTTCTCCCTCCCCAGTTCCTCTCGTTTCTCAGGAGCTGATTACCCTTCTCCCTCCCCAGTTCCACTCGTTTCTCAGGAGCAGATTACCCTCCTCCCTCCCCAGCTCCTCTCGTTTCTCAGGAGCCGATTACCCTCCTCCCTCCCCAGCTCCTCTCGTTTCTCAGGAGCCGATTACCCTCCTCCCTCCCCAGCTCCTCTCGTTTCTCAGGAGCCGATTACCCTCCTCCCTCCCCAGCTCCACTCGTTTCTCAGGAGCCGATTACCCTCCTCCCTCCCCAGCTCCACTCGTTTCTCAGGAGCTGATTATCCTCCTCCCTCCCCAGCTCCACTCGTTTCTCAGGAGCCGATTCCCCTCCTCCATCCCCAGCTCTTCTCGTTTCTCAGGAGCCGATTCCCCTCCTCCCTCCCCAGCTCCTCTTGTTTCTCAGGAGCCGATTACCCTCCTCCCTCCCCAGCTCCTCTCGTTTCTCAGGAGCCGATTACCCTCCTCCCTCCCCAGTTCCTCTCGTTTCTCAGGAGCTGATTACCCTCCTCCCTCCCCAGTTCCACTCGTTTCTCAGGAGCTGATTACCCTCCTCCCTCCCCAGCTCCACTCGTTTCTCAGGAGCTGATTATCCTCCTCCCTCCCCAGCTCCACTCGTTTCTCAGGAGCCGATTCCCCTCCTCCATCCCCAGCTCTTCTCGTTTCTCAGGAGCCGATTCCCCTCCTCCCTCCCCAGCTCCTCTCGTTTCTCAGGAGCCGATTACCCTCCTCCCTCCCCAGCTCCTCTCGTTTCTCAGGAGCTGATTACCCTCCTCCCTCCCCAGCTCCTCTCGTTTCTCAGGAGCCGATTACCCTTCTCCCTCCCCAGTTCCTCTCGTTTCTCAGGAGCTGATTACCCTTCTCCCTCCCCAGTTCCTCTCGTTTCTCAGGAGCTGATTACCCTCCTCCCTCCCCAGTTCCACTCGTTTCTCAGGAGCTGATTACCCTCCTCCATCCCCAGCTCCTCTCGTTTCTTAGGAGCCGATTACCCTTCTCCCTCCCCAGTTCCTCTCGTTTCTCAGGAGCTGATTACCCTCCTCCCTCCCCAGTTCCACTCGTTTCTCAGGAGCAGATTACCCTCCTCCCTCCCCAGCTCCTCTCGTTTCTCAGGAGCCGATTACCCTCCTCCCTCCCCAGCTCCTCTCGTTTCTCAGGAGCCGATTACCCTCCTCCCTCCCCAGCTCCTCTCGTTTCTCAGGAGCCGATTACCCTCCTCCCTCCCCAGCTCCACTCGTTTCTCAGGAGCCGATTACCCTCCTCCCTCCCCAGCTCCACTCGTTTCTCAGGAGCTGATTATCCTCCTCCCTCCCCAGTTCCACTCGTTTCTCAGGAGCCGATTCCCCTCCTCCATCCCCAGCTCTTCTCGTTTCTCAGGAGCCGATTCCCCTCCTCCCTCCCCAGCTCCTCTCGTTTCTCAGGAGCCGATTACCCTCCTCCCTCCCCAGCTCCTCTCGTTTCTCAGGAGCCGATTACCCTCCTCCCTCCCCAGCTCCTCTCGTTTCTCAGGAGCTGATTACCCTCCTCCCTCCCCAGTTCCTCTCGTTTCTCAGGAGCTGATTACCCTCCTCCCTCCCCAGTTCCTCTCGTTTCTCAGGAGCTGATTACCCTCCTCCCTCCCCAGTTCCACTCGTTTCTCAGGAGCTGATTACCCTCCTCCCTCCCCAGTTCCACTCGTTTCTCAGGAGCTGATTACCCTCCTCCCTCCCCAGCTCCTCTCGTTTCTCAGGAGCCGATTACCCTCCTCCCTCCCCAGCTCCTCTCGTTTCTCAGGAGCCGATTACCCTCCTCCCTCCCCAGCTCCTCTCGTTTCTCAGGAGCTGATTACCCTCCTCCCTCCCCAGCTCCACTCGTTTCTCAGGAGCTGATTACCCTCCTCCCTCCCCAGCTCCTCTCGTTTCTCAGGAGCCGATTACCCTCCTCCCTCCCCAGCTCCTCTCGTTTCTCAGGAGCCGATTACCCTCCTCCCTCCCAGCTGATTATCCTCCTCCCTCCCCAGCTCCACTCGTTTCTCAGGAGCCGATTCCCCTCCTCCATCCCCAGCTCTTCTCGTTTCTCAGGAGCCGATTCCCCTCCTCCCTCCCCAGCTCCTCTCGTTTCTCAGGAGCTGATTACCCTCCTCCCTCCCCAGTTCCACTCGTTTCTCAGGAGCTGATTACCCTCCTCCCTCCCCAGCTCCTCTCGTTTCTCAGGAGCCGATTACCCTCCTCCCTCCCCAGCTCCTCTCGTTTCTCAGGAGCCGATTTCCCTCCTCCCTCCCCAGCTCCTCTCGTTTCTCAGGAGCTGATTACCCTCCTCCCTCCCCAGCTCCACTCGTTTCTCAGGAGCTGATTACCCTCCTCCCTCCCCAGCTCCTCTCGTTTCTCAGGAGCTGATTACCCTCCTCCCTCCCCAGTTCCTCTCGTTTCTCAGGAGCTGATTACCCTCCTCCATCCCCAGTTCCTCTCGTTTCTCAGGAGCCGATTACCCTCCTCCCTCCCCAGCTCCTCTCGTTTCTCAGGAGCTGATTACCCTCCTCCCTCCCCAGCTCCTCTCGTTTCTCAGGAGCTGATTACCCTCCTCCCTCCCCAGTTCCTCTCGTTTCTCAGGAGCCGATTACCCTCCTCCCTCCCCAGCTCCTCTCGTTTTTTTAGGAGCTGATTACCCTCCTCCCTCCCCAGCTCCACTCGTTTCTCAGGAGCTGATTACCCTCCTCCCTCCCCAGCTCCTCTCGTTTCTCAGGAGCCGATTACCCTCCTCCCTCCCCAGCTCCTCTCGTTTCTCAGGAGCCGATTACCCTCCTCCCTCCCCAGCTCCTCTCGTTTCTCAGGAGCTGATTACCCTCCTCCATCCCCAGTTCCTCTCGTTTCTCAGGAGCTGATTACCCTCCTCCCTCCCCAGCTCCTCTCGTTTCTCAGGAGCTAATTACCCTCCTCCCTCCCCAGTTCCACTCGTTTCTCAGGAGCTGATTACCCTCCTCCCTCCCCAGTTCCTCTCGTTTCTCAGGAGCTGATTACCCTCCTCCCTCCCCAGCTCCTCTCGTTTCTCAGGAGCTGATTACCCTCCTCCCTCCCCAGCTCCTCTCGTTTCTCAGGAGCTGATTACCCTCCTCCCTCCCCAGTTCCTCTCGTTTCTCAGGAGCCGATTACCCTCCTCCCTCCCCAGCTCCTCTCGTTTCTCAGGAGCTGATTACCCTCCTCCCTCCCCAGCTCCTCTCGTTTCTCAGGAGCTGATTACCCTCCTCCCTCCCCAGCTCCTCTCGTTTCTCAGGAGCTGATTACCCTCCTCCCTCCCCAGCTCCTCTCGTTTCTCAGGAGCTGATTACCCTCCTCCCTCCCCAGCTGCTCTCGTTTCTCAGAAGCCGATTACCCTCCTCCCTCCCCAGCTCCTCTAGTTTCTCAGGAGCCGATTACCCTCCTCCCTCCCCAGCTCCTCTCGTTTCTCAGGAGCCGATTACCCTCCTCCCTCCCCAGCTGCTCTCGTTTCTCAGGAGCCGATTACCCTCCTCCCTCCCCAGCTCCTCTCGTTTCTCAGGAGCCGATTACCCTCCTCCCTCCCCAGCTCCTCTTGTTTCTCAGGAGCCGATTACCCTCCTCCCTCCCCAGTTCCTCTCGTTTCTCAGGAGCTGATTACCCTCCTCCCTCCCCAGTTCCTCTCGTTTCTCAGGAGCTGATTACCCTCCTCCCTCCCCAGCTCCTCTCGTTTCTCAGGAGCCGATTACCCTCCTCCCTCCCCAGCTCCACTCGTTTCTCAGGAGCAGATTACCCTCCTCCCTCCCCAGCTCCTCTCGTTTCTCAGGAGCTGATTACCCTCCTCCCTCCCCAGCTCCTCTCGTTTCTCAAGAGCCGATTACCCTCCTCCCTCCCCAGCTCCTCTCGTTTCTCAGGAGCCGATTACCCTCCTCCCTCCCCAGCTCCTCTCATTTCTCAGGAGCTGATTACCCTCCTCCCTCCCCAGCTCCTCTCGTTTCTCATGAGCTGATTACCCTTCTCCCTCCCCAGCTCCTCTCGTTTCTCAACCGCTGATTACCCTCCTCCCTCCCCAGCTCCTCTCGTTTCTCAGGAGCTGATTACCCTTCTCCCTCCCCAGCTCCTCTCGTTTCTCAGGAGCTGATTACCCTCCTCCCTTCCCAGGTCCACCTGTCTCCAGTCAGGATTTGGCATTCTGATTCCCCTTGAATCTGAATAAATTCTCGAATTATGTTGTACTTTAAAATCTTGAAATAATGATATCTGCAATACATTCATGTTGGTTCTGTTCTGTTTACGCTAACAGGGGTTATTGCTGCTCTTATCCCTGCTAGGCTGCCCAGAACGGAACCATACCGTCAATCCAAACTGTATGCTAATAGTCAATCGTATTCGACGATAGCGGTCCTGCCAGAAGTGTGTGTGTGGCTAACCTGAACTCTTCGTGTGTCCGCAG